ACTGGACCTTCCCATACAATGCCTGAGTCTTGCTGTTCCACCTCCTCGTTCAACTGCTCATTCTCAGGCTGTAGTTCGTATGGAACTGTTGGTTCACTCTCAAACTGAAAGTCATTGCCTTCAACGTTCACTCCACCTGAAGTCGCTGTCATCTCACCGATGACATTGCCAAAGAATTTGATGGGCTCCTTCTTCTTGTGTAGCACTGTCAGCACCTGCGTCTCGACACCGTTGCACTCCGGGATCTCTCCTTCAGGATCTTCCAAATTGAAATACTGACAACAGTGCTCCACCAACTCCCAGGAATCATCTGTCTTTCTCACCAGTGTTGACCGAAGAGGCCACCACTGGATGCTCCACATCAGTTGGGCATTCTCGAAGTTCTTGCTCTCATAGCTAAACTTGAAGGGATTTCCGTCTGGACCGGTTTTCCAAGCTCTTAGCCCATAGCTGTCCCAGAAGAATGAGTGGAGTTGCATCACAGTTTGCACCACCAAGACGTCATTGTCATCCCTGTTCACAATCTCTGAAAGTTCACCTGTCTGCTCTTCAGGAAGATGGTGAACTCGATTGATGGTGCCAAACAAAGCCAGAGAATTCTTTCGAAAGTATAGAGGAATGAGACACTTACCATCAGGAGCAGCCAACTGAACTCCTGTCTCTGTGTCTCCTGGACACAACCTCCAGCCCTTCTGCAGCAAGCGGCCCATACTCACCAGCGGGGTTTGAACCGAAGCAACTATGAAATCATCCTCAATGATCACAGAGCCATCTGAAACTTCACACTCAATTTGTGCCAACTTACGACCATAAGTTGCCAACTTTGATCCCTGGGCATCCTCTAGGACTGCTTTTCCCAAGGCCTGTGGAGTTCCTCGATCTGACATGGCTCGGGGTAACAGACTGATGTCAGCACCTGAATCAAGCACGATCAACATCTTCTCATCGCTCGCCTTGATGGCATTCACGTAGAAGGTTTCAGGCTTCTCGCCATCGGGCTCCTCAAGAACATAGCGCCTTGTTGGTAATCCATAGTACCATCGAAGAGTCCTGTCCGCCTCTTCTCCAGTGATGGGCTCATCACTAGAGTCACCATTCATCACGAAGGTCACCACATTCACCTGGTAGTTATCATCGTAGATCCAACTCTCACCACCTTCGCTCTGCAGGTCATAGATCACCGGTGTCGTCTCTTCTCGAGGGGTTGCAACATGGTACATCCTCACCTGTCTCACCTGCTTGCTCACAGCTGTTGAAGCCGTTGAAACACTGCCACCACCACGAAGTTTTCCCCCAGCTGAGCTTGCAATGTCACTTTCTGAAGCTCCTGTCACACTGCCAGCTGGGATTGTCTGTGTCACGGTGTTGGCTCGATTGGGGCATTCATTCCCCCAGTGACCAGATTGGCCACAGATTCGGCAGGTGTTGGAATTGTTTCCACCTTTGCCTTTGGTGCCACCATTGAACTTGCCTTTACCTTTCTTGCCCTTCTTGCCACCTTTTCCTTTCTTTCCTCCTTTGCCTTTCTGTGACTTGCCACCGAACTTGCCACCTCCTCCATAAGGAAAGGGAAACCAACCTCTTTTCTTGCCCTTGCCTTTCTTTCCTCCTCCTTTGTACTTGCCTTTGCCCACAAAGTTTACGCTGTCCACGTCCATAGGTGCTGGACCATTGTTGGTTGTCTCCAAGGTGTTTTGGACCAGCTTCAAGTAAGTGTCACCTGACCAAACACGCGAGTTCTTGTCCATCAAGATGAGCTTCTCTTTCAGAGAATTGTAGTCGATGGAGTCATCCATGGTCAGCTCCAGATGCTTTCGAACACCTGGTTCAACACAGCGCATCACTGTGGACACAACTAGGTCATCGGGCATGGCGTGACCTGAAGCTACCCTGTATTGATCTAAAAGTAGATCGAGCTGCAGCAGGTTCTCCATCATGCTCTTTCCAGCCTTGAACTGCGGGAGGCCCATGATGGCCTGGCCAATTGCCATAGTCCGTGGACGAGCACGAGGGAGGTACTCTCAGATAGATTAGTCGCATCGGTTTGCGCTAAATGTTGCCGTTACTTGCGTCGAAAGGTCTTCGGGAAGTCGCATCGGTTTCATGATTCCATGCTGTTTTGAGAACATGCGACATGCAAATGATCTAGCTAACCTTTAATTCTTTCAATGCTACTGGGGCCTCGCTTTAAGTCGTATCAACTGGAGGAAAGTCGTATCAAAATGGTGTGCCCTTGGGGATTGGCTTTTCTATGGATGTTTGTTGTTGTTCTATTTGTTCTACGAACTGATGTTAATGTGCTGTGCCCATGCGTTGCTTGCTTGTGTGATAGATTCAACAACCTTGTTGCATCATTGCATCGTGTTTTTTCAACAGACAGCGTGAGCTATTAGGGTTCTTACTTCAAGGAGCTGCGTGTGTGCGTTTTCGAGCGTGGGTGCTGGTGCCGCTGAAGGGTGCCGCTGTTGTTCCAGTGTAGGAAGAGCTGCGTGTTTGCGCGCTTGAGCTTGGGCGCTGGTGCCGCTGCAGGATGTGCTGGGGAGCTTGGGTGCTGGCGCGTTGCAGAGTGCCGCTGCTGTGTGCGCTTGAGAGCTTGGGTGCTGGTGCCGCTGCAGGGTGCTGCTGTGTGCACTTTGGATCTTAGGCATGTGGCCATGTGCACTTTGGAGCTTGGGTGCTTCTGGGCTTGGCATGGTGCTTGGGCTGGGATGTACTGGTGCTTGGGTGCTTGTTTGCTGCTGGCTTGCTGCTGGTTTGCTGCTGGTTTGCTCCTGGTTTGCTCCTGGTTTGCTGCTTGTTTGCTGCTTGTTTGCTGCTTGTTAACTGCTGCTGCTGCTGCTGCTCCTGCGTGTTTGCTGCTGCTGCTGCTTGTTAACTGCTGCTGCTGCTGCTGCTGCTTGTTAGCTGCTGCTTGTTAGCTGCTTGTTAGCTGCTGCTGCTGCTGCTGCTTGTTAGCTCCTGCTGGTGTGCTGCTGCTATTGCTGTTGCTGTTGCTGTTGCTGTTGCTGTTGTTGTTGTTGTGGTGTTGGTGGTGGTGGTAGCTGCTGCTGCTGCTGCTGGTGTGCTGCTGGTGTAAATGCCTACTGCTGCTGCTTCCGCAAAGGAAATGGAATAATTTCGTATAAAGCCAACACATTTTTCAATCACTAAAGCGCCTTGTAAACAGGAACCTGATGTGACCCTGATGTGACCCCGTCGCATCGGGCCCCCCCTTGCAGATTAACAGTTTTCCAGTCACCTGATGTGACTAATATTGTTGACAGTACAAATTGCGAAGCTGTTGCCAAACTCGAAACCCATTTCTCTCCGAAGCTGCAGCCTTCACAAACTGGGCAGCAGGCCCTTTCACATAGGAGGCTAGGATGGCATAAAGTCGATGCCCAAGCTCAACCACCTCTTCTGAAGCAAATTCTGCCAAGGTGCAAGGTTCATCAAGCTCCTCAACCTGCTTCAGAAGGTCCACATAGCGGTGATCGCCATACGTCAGCCAGTTCTTGAAATTGTCAGACCAGCTTACGAAGCGAAGAGGATCATCTACTTCAAAAGCTTCTGGTGCACGAAGAACCTTGCTGGCTTCACCAAAACCTTTCGTGTGGTCTTTCCTGTCCAGCTTCTCTGCCACTGCAGCTGAAGATCTCGCTGCGGCCACCGTCGCCTCGGTCAACTGCATCATGTGAGTGAACATACGTTGCAACTGGTCTCCATCCATAGCTTGCCCTGTTGTCCACAAAGTCAAAAACAAAACACTCCTCAACTTCATTCTGAATTCAAAATGGCTTCGAAGATGTCCGTTCCACCTCCGAGCTCTGCTCAAGTGGCCCTTGGGCTCCTCAAACCTTTTCTTCAACTTCTTAGGTCCCTTCTGGAATCGATACATCATCTCAACTCCAGCTAGTACGAAGAGGATCATGACCACAAAGGGCGCCATCCCATCAATTTCCATCACTGTCTGCAGGATCGTTGAGTAGTGCTCGAGGTCAAAGACCAACGCACCCACATAAGACTCAATCAGCTTGACATTCTTAAAGAAGTAGCTGCTGTTCATCACCATGGACTCATCATCTGCACAGCCCAAGTTCCAATCTTGGACAGTTTCAGCGCTGCTGCTATTGCTCAGGCTCAAAAAGTCAAAGCACCGATCTTCGACCTGAAGGAAAAATTCCTCAATTTCCATGTCAACTGAACGTCGACTGCACCTCAAAAGGTCTGCCTGAAGGTCACATGCAGCACATGTCTCGGTGGTCCCAATCCACCTCATATTCTTCTCCTCAAAGTCCATGCTGTCCCACTCCAGGCTTCGACCATAGTCGCGAGGGCACCAATCCCTGCTCAACCTGTCGTCCTTCATGAAGTCCTGCAAGTCCACCATGTCCGTGAAGGGGATGTCGACCTTGGTCTCCTCCTTGTCCAGGATGTCGTCCGAACACTCAACGCAACCACCGATCATCACCAGGAAGTAGGCCAGCATGTAGCATGGCTTTGGGTGGTGTGGAGTCCGTGGAGCCGAGACTTTGCCCGGCTCCGCTACCATGTCAAAGGTAGCAAACGCGCCGACCGCTCTCCTTTTCTGCGGAGAGGATTTGGGCCACTGTCGGCCAGTCGTGAACTCTAGTGAGGTGCTCTACATGTCAGGTTCTGACAGAACCCCACATGTATGTCATGTCTCGTCCTCTCGTCAGACGCGTTGTTTTCCAAATACCACCGCATCCGGACACGAAACACAGGTTTCCAACGCATCGGATGTGTCGAAATCCCAGACGGTTTTAAACAGAGGAGTTTTCAAATTAGGTGCTCCGAGTCTAGGAATGTCCTTTGGTGGTGCCAATATAGATTCTTTCCTGGTTTTTCCCGGGAATGTAGGCCAGGAAAAGCATGGAAACATTTCTGAGACGGAAAAGCTCTGACGTGCAAAACTGGGCCAACTCGGACATCCCCGTTCGCCCGGTGCACCGGGTGCCTTCACACGTTTGCCCCGACCGCCACGACCGTGATCCGCGGAGGTGTGACGTCGCGATCCGCTTGCTTCGGAAGATGCCTGAGCTGGGTTTGCAGCCCGACGTCTTCAGTGGGGGACCTCGGCGCCCAGGTGTTTGGGGCTTCAGTGGGTTGACCGAAGGGCGCTACGGAAGGGTTCTGATGTCTGAACACCTCATGAATCAGGCAGGGCTTCACAAGACCCTGGTGGTTTGCTGTTTTCCGGTGCAACAGGCTGGTGTTCTTTTTAGATCTTTTTAGAGGTATCTGATCCCAAGCCGGAGCCATCGACCCTCTCCAGATGCCTTCTCGCTCGCCGCCGTGAGCGCCCCATCGCAGCTAGCGTCTTCATGGATCCAGCCTCGAGGTCGGGGGTCTCGTCTTGTACTGCTCCGAGTGCCCGCTCGAGGGGTGTATCCGGCGGGCTATGCAGGCTTGGATGTCCATTCACTCTGCTATTCGGACCACATGGAACCCCAAACACCACGTCCGGGTTGCTTGGATGAATATGAGATTCCACGGTTCAAGTCTCAAGGTCCACATGGTCCGTGGGTCTGTCTGGGGGGGGGGGACCTTGTCCAGACCATCCTGGCCCTCATTGGGTGTGTAATGCTGGTTTCCAGACCTTTCCTTCCGGAAAGTGAGGGGGTCCACAGCAATCGCCTCCCCCCCGGCCCCATCGCCTCAGGCTACAACGCCGTCTTGTCAGCGTGCCAAGATGCCGAGCAATGGGAACTGGCGCTGAAGATCTTCCAGGACGAACACCGCACGAACCGAACACCGGGGCTTTCCTGGTCGGCAGGGGGGGTGATTTATAGGTACCTTTTTCGGATGTTTTTGGGTGACGGATGGTGACGGCTGATGGGTCCATGTAAGCTACCTGAGCTTCTGCAGTGTTCGGGTGCTATCTGAGTTTGAAGGTCAGGGTATGATTCTGAGAGCGGCTGATAGGTCCCATGACCAACCCCTGCAAGATTGGGGAAGACTCCCCAAAGATACCCCTCGGAGAAGCCCTATAGTTTATAGACATCAACAGGTGGGTTTATGAATATGGAGAAGGGACAGGAGAAAACGAAAAACCATTAGAACCAATCATTTCACGTGGTGCATCCGAACGTCTTCAGCTGGTTCTTCTACTAGTAGCAAGGGCATCGCTACTACAGTAGGGGCGCTCCTGGCAGTAGTAGCAAGAAGCTACGAACGTAATAAGGGCACTGTTTCGTGCCCAAAGGGCCGCAGAGACGGGTCCCCGCGCAGAACGGTCTGAGGAGATGAAGGAAGCGTCCATTGTTCCAGATGCCGCTCGACGGGAGGGTCGGAGGGTCTGTTCGGAGAAAGGCGACGGAAGCGAAAGCCAGAGCCGTGGTCCGAAAGTGGTTCACGGTATGGTGGAAGAGAGGGTTTCTACCCCTCCGAGTCATTCAGATGGAAATGGAACACCACCTTATTTGTAGAGAAGAAGGGTCTTGCAGGGGCCTTTCCCTTCCATGATTATTTCAGAAAGTGTACAGTATATAATATCTATACACATATACACTTGGGGAACGACCTGCGCTTGGGAATCCTCATGGTTTGTTTGTCCCATGAGGATCCCAAAATCGCCAAGATCCCAAAATCGCCCACATCTACACTCCCTTGAAATCATCCATGAAGGGTGATTGTCACCGGTTTACCGTCCCAAGTGGCCATGCTCGTCCACGTCCATGCTCGGAGCGCAACACGAGCGTCGCGTCATGGGTGTGGTTCCAACTTCTTCCTCACAGCTCAACCGATTGCCCAAGGTCCAGGGGGTGAGGGTCAAGTGGTTTGAACCAACACGGAGCTGGGCCGAAGGAAACACACGGAGCTGCACAAAGCTCCAGCTGACGACCTGAGACAGCTAGCTGTCCAATGGACCTCCGCGGTAGGTGTCTTTTTGGGGAGTCCAAGACTGTTTTGAAAACATAGTCCTACAATTCCTGCAAGTCCAAGACAGTACACAGTACACACTTGTGTCCAAGGGGTGCGACGGAGGTGCCGCAAATTGCGCCGCAGGGTGCGTGATTCTCCTTCTGGGGAAGTGACTCTCAGGTCTACACCTATGGGGCAGTGATCCTCTCTTGCAGCTTGGTCCCCTCCTCAGTGGGAAGGGTGAGAGAAGTGAGTTTCCTCATGGTCTGAGAACGCATGCTCTCCAGTAGCATGGAGCGAGCTAAACCAGTTTCTGCGTGTCCTCACTGCGACGCCCAACTGCGACGCCCAACGAACTGAGCACCCTTTTCGCTTCCAGCGAAACCAAACGTCCTTCCTTTGCTGAAGGATCCACCGGAACCAACATGGAAGTGGAGGTCTCCTCTGTTCGTTCTGGTAAAGGAAAGTAGTCTTCTTTTCGGGACCGTGCCATCCACTTCCATGTGATGTGTTCGTCAGAGTGTAAACATAAACAAACATCCGGACACCAAAACTTGGCTGGGTCCTTCATGTACCTTGGGCTCAGCTGAGTTTTGGCCCAGGGCCTAGTTTACAGGAACACCGCTTATAGGCTACTTATAGGGGTTGTGTGTAGTAGTTGGCGAGTTTGAGGGAAAGGATTCTAACCCGGAAAAAGTTGATAACTTGCAAACCTTGGGTCTGTCCTATTACCTGCAACATTATCACTTGGGTCTGTTCTAAACAGTTATCACTATTGTTGTAACAGTCAGTAACCATCATCATCCACTGTTAATGGCAATAGGATAGACCCAATGCAAAAGCTTCTTTGGAGGATTGGTTTCCCCACTAAAGAACCAACACATGGAACATGGAGATGCTCTACTTTCCAGGGAAATGGCTCGGGATGTCAGTATCTGTTGGAGGATTTTCCAGAAACGCCGCGGATGAAGGACAGGCTGGTCTAACATTGGACTTGTACGAGATCTCCCCGTGCCGTTGGAAGAGAACATCCCAAGCATTGGTAAAAACCGTGCGTATCCTCACGGTCCTCGTATGTGCTATGGCCTTGACACTTGCTTGTGAAGGGCTGGTCATCGGTCCCCCTCTGGGATGGATGGGGGCTGTCAGAAGTGAAGAACCATGGCACATCATCATGTTTTCCGATTGCAAGTGATTCTGATCTTCTTCACTAGCAAGCTCCAGCCCTCATCATATACCTTGAGTCCCCCAAAAAGGGTATCTCACCTGCTTCGGCTCGAACGGCGCCACGGTGCCACAGCGGTGGTGCCTTTCTTTTTCATCCCAAACACCGCGGTGAATCCCTGTCGAACATCTGAACTGCTCGTCCGTTTGCGGATTCCAGTCCATTCACCAACAGTCCATCCTGACGTCCTGGAGGTCGGTGCACTCACTCCATCCTCTTCTATGGTCCATGTTCTATTTCCTTTCCCTGCTCACTCAGGCCCTTCAGTGGGAATGGGCTGTCAACTTATGGCACGAGATGGAGTCGAAGGCACGGCGCCTCGATCGCTCAGTTCGCCGACGACCCGAGGACCTGAGGACGGACTCGACGTGACGGGCGAGGACCCGTGGCGGGGACAGCCATGAAGCAGGGGGATGACAGATGACTTGCGTTAGAGCCCCCATTTGCATCTATTTGCCAGGTGATTGGGGTCACCGAAACCGCCAAAACCAATGATCATGGAGATCCACCCACTAAAGGAACCACTCCAATAGCAATCACCTTGGATCCTTTCCTTCGTCGCTCCCTGCACCCCGCCCCAACGCTTCGCTTGTGGACCGTCGCTCCAAAAAAATGACACACCAACGTGGTTTTGGTAAAACAACATGAACATACATGAACCATTCTCAGAGTCCGAAGACCTCGGCGGGGTATGTTTGGAGCAAGATTGAGGCCGACGATGTTTGTGTCAAGGATCACGAGGGCTTCTGTGGCATTTCTCCTGCCATGTCCAATTATTTGTGGCAAGAGGCATTAAAAGTTCGAACAACCATGGAAGAAGAACTGCAACTCCTTTCCGGCTGGAATATCTGAGTATGAGAGCACAACTACAACGACAGATTCAACCAGGCACTCAGAAACTGAGGTGTCCAGGACATACTGCAACCTTCTGACACCGGAACAATTGGTTTTGAGTGAACATGGTGTGGCTTAAGATACCCTCTCTCGCTGGAGTCTAAATTTCATGGTGCAGATGACATGAATGCCATAATGGGCTGTGACATGTGCAGCAAGGCTTAGGCGAAGGCTTAGCCCACTTGGGAGGCAGAACATCCCACACAACGGCGACATCCGTTCGTCCAATGGTCGAGTTCATCGGACAAAACGTCGCAGTGATCGAGAGACGAGTCCGAACGTGAAGAAGATGGTCGGCAGGAGAAACGCCGCAAGAAGTTGGCCAGAAGTAACGATAACCATCCTTGTTACTAGTAACTATAGTCTATAGTAGCTTCTTGCTCCGTTCGTAGTGATGGCCTCCCTACTTGCGATGGCCTCCACCGAGCATAGCGTCCTTATCCATGTTCAGATGCTCTAGCTCCCTGGGCCAGACAGTCCGCGTTGAACGGGGAGGGGCACCAGCGACGTATCACGTAGCTCACCTGGCGTAGCGACGTGACGAGTGGTGGTGGTGGTGGTGGTCACCGGCAAAGATGTGTCATATCAAATACAGTATATGCCCTGGTCGAGACACCGGCTTGGGTCAAAAAACAGGGTCAGTCATCCAAGTTTAGCTGATTGGGTTTGGAGGGACAAGGCGGACAAGGGACAAGCATCAAACATGATGACATTGGGATGGTGTCTTCATCCACTTTTGGGGTCATTCTTGGAACATTTGCGCAGATGTGTGCCGGTCTCTTCGCCTCTTCGTGATGTTATGAAATTCCGATGAGGTCTTGAATGAAGAAACAATGAGATCTTTTTGGTTTCTGACCTCATTGTTTCTGACCACTTTCGGTATATACCCCTTCCTAGGGAACGGAGCAAGGCTTGGGGCATTGAAGTGTGGCGCATGACATGGTCAGCAAGTCGTAGCGTTGGTTTGGGGGGAGATCGAGTGCACCGGGTGCACCAGTGGCTGGCGCCAGTGACTTGGAGACTTAGCTAAGCCCCACATCTCCCAGCTTCCCAGCACCGTGTGGGAACCCGCGCGCCGCAGGGTGTCCCTGCGAACGCCATGATCATGAGCAGCGTGGTCGGAGGTCCCAGGATCTTTTTGGGGTGGGAAGCACAGACTTTGATCGTGGACAAGCGACCCTGGCATCACCTTGATTCCCCAGACCCAGTGGTTTTTTTCTTCGTCCAAAAAGGTGTCTGTCTTGTGGTTTCAGGGGTTTTATCTTAAGTCGGTACCCCTTTGAACAGACCTTCGAGCGACGGTGTCGACACGCCGGCCTCGGGTTGCCCTCGTCTGGAGGACCGAGTGAACAGCGCACTGCAGGCACAGCCTCGATAGCAATGGCTTGTACATGTTGGTGCCCTCTAAATCCTTCAAACAGGTTTCTTTTGTGAAAGACGCCGGGATGCTTAGGGGGTGCTCCGACGTCGAAGGCCTGTCTCGGCTGATTTGGAAGCAAGACTGAAAGCCCGGGTTGCCGCACTGTGCTGGTCACCCGCAAAGTCACGAAAGGTAGCTTGAGCTACCTGAGTTCTCCTTGCTTTAGCAAAAATGCATTGCAATCAAGTGCTGGGATTGTGCATTGAATTTGGTCCTGTAAGAGATGATTCTGTTCCGACCCCCCTCCCTGGATCAAATCCCCCCTGCGCCGGCTCACGGCGTCATGGACTTCTACCAGGGTTACTTGTGATTGCCTGCTACCTTTCGTTCACCCCCTCCTCTCTCAAGTGGTTTGGGAGGCTGCAAGTCTGGGTGGTTGGTGGTTTTAGCATGTTTCAGATGTTGAACCTCTACTTGGAAGAAATTGAAGCCACTGCTGTGTGGTTCCTAGCATAGAAAACTCCACACGTGGGCAACAACCGAAAGGACCTTCGACAAACTGGGTATCAAACTGAGCAGTGGGTGAGTCAACTGACGCTCCATGGTGGTGGCAGTTGTTCAGGAGATGACAAGGGAGTTTGTGGAATGAAACAAATACTGCCCTCCACCGCGCCAAAAAGGCTTCGCCCAAAAGCTTTGTTTTTTTCTCTTTTCATGCCCATTTGAGGTATTATATCCTTGTCAGGACCCTTGCGATGGGGGGCTTGGACTTGGAACCCTTGTGAGTACATGAGAAGGGCCAAAAGGGTAAGTTCTGGAGAATGATACTAAGAATGCTGTCCCCTAACCATCATTGCACCCTTCGAGCAGGCTAAAGAACCCTGCAGACCTCACTGTCGCTCTTTGGGCGCTCGACGTTGCACCCAAGCACTGGGCCCTGGAACCCCCAGTTGACAGAATCCAACGGGTACCTTCCAAGAGGTTCCCAACACAAATCCTTTATAAATTACATCCTGAAAACCAATATAGCAAGTGATTTACGTGGTTTGGACTGGAGAAACGTCCTAAGTGGTTGAACCTGGTTTCCCAGGTCTTGGTCAGATCCGTTGGATCCGCTCGCCGTTTCGACCGTTTCGTTCCCACGTGGTAGCTGAGGTCGGCGCGTGCCACCGCAGTGAGCAGCAAGTGAGGAACTCAGAGCACTCACGAGGGTGACGGGGTGACGACCCAGAAGCCGCAGGACCCAATTTGAGCATGAACAGCTAAATAATGCTTCAAACATCCATCGGTGTTCATTCAGCCTGCCTCTCTTTACACATGGAATCGATCCATGGTATTTTCTGCTGTCACTTTTTTGAACGGGGATGCTTCACTCACAGAAGCACGGTGACGGTCACCTGCTGAATATGGTGGCATAAGGTGCCGAAGACAGCCATGTCACGCCAACTACTCCTGCTGAGGTCCAAAGACCATTTTGGGCAACACCGAAGTGAAGGAAGTTCCATTTCGGGTCACCCAAAGACTATTTAAAACATGGTCTTGGACTCTTGGGGTACTCACAAAAGCGACCTGCCTGGTCTATGTAGAGATGACTTGCCCAATCATCCTATTTCTCTTCTCACAGATGTCACAACACTTAGAGGGGGCCATGCTCTCAAACGTCATACACCCCCATGGTCAAACATGAAGCCATTGTGCTCGTGTTCCGATCATTCACGCCCATGGCGAACGCCGGGTCGACCATCCGAGACATCTCAGATGCCCCGTCCCGGGTGAGGTCGACCCTTCGAAGGGTTTCGTAGGTCCTCACCTTGGTGCCTCGACCCATCCGATTCGGAGCTACCGGGGCAAGGAGACGAGATACGATTTTCCTCGACCAAACCGGCGGTCTTTTTTCCAATTGTTTTTCCACTTCCATGTAAGTTCCCAGGGAGAGTACCTGGTCCGACCTGCCCACTCCCCTTCCGACCGAAGAATGGCCGGTCGACCAAGAACTGGGTCGACTATTTGATCGGCGAGATGAAGCGAAGAGGCCGTGTGTTTTTATTTATTTTTTACTCTTTTTTTTATCCGATCGCCGGTTTTCTTAAGAGCAACAGAGAGTTACTCTGAGTTGGTCTCCTGTTGTCTAAAATCCCGACTAAAACCATGGTTGTTGAGGAAAGGCAGAAAGATCTAAAAGATTCTAAAAGTATATAATTATAGAACATGATAGACATATATTAAACCTACTGGTTCTTGGAACATTTGGGGGTGTTCCAGTGGATCTGTTGGGATTTGTTTTGGGGGTCCCGGGGTTGATTGCTCAGGAGTTGCTGGGGGTCGTGACCTGCGAAAACCGCCCAAGCAGTCCACCATGTAGCGAGAGGTCGGTAGACAGACACCAGGTAGGATGCAGGGATTGGATCCAAATCCTTTGGCTCTGGGATTTCTCATCAATTTTTCAGGTTTGGAGGGAGCAACTCGGGCGAACGGAGCGTGAAAGGGGGAGTACGTTCGCGTTCGCGGCAGTCGCAGCGTTCGGTGCGATCTCGGTCTGCCCGGCCCAGTTGGCCTTTCAGGGCCATGAATTTGAGGTGTTTTACAACGATGGTTAGTTTTACTGACTCCTTACTCACTCTCAGGTTTTGGACATTTGCTCTTCACCGATTGGAGGTGACCAGGTGGATCTGGTCGTGAGTATGGAGACACATTCGACCAAGATCACACAGTTCTTGGCTGCAAAGAGCAACTACCCAGAGGCGACCATATACCCTCAAACTGCTACATGTTGGTTCGGTCCAGTTCACCCTGGTTGTGAGGGTCAAAACCTGAGCGAACTGGGGTCCTTTCTGAGCCCTTGCATACAGAGTTGTTGCGATTTTGTGGTGGCTCAATCAACTTCTTCAGCAGTTGGCAAGCATGGTGTTCTTGGGGACCTCCTTATCCGAAGAAACTGTCCATACTCCTTGGACGTGCCTGAGATAACCCACACAGAAAAGGGGGCAGCCAGAGACCCAAAGAGTCGATTCGGAGCCAAGGATCCGTTCGTACCCGGCGATTCGCCGCTCACCCCCTCAGCCGGTCTGCGCAGCAGCACTCGCCTCCGCAAGGCTTCAGTTTGGAGAACACGGCCTTCCAAGGCTCAGGCCGATCGAATGGGAGATGCTTTTTTTTCGCTCACTGAGCTCACTGGTGGAATTGGAGAGAGAGAGAGATCACGGACCAGATCGGTTGGTCTGCAGATCACGGGTGACGGGTTCGTTCTCCAGCTGAGACCGGATTCTTCGAGGCGTCCACGGGTTCAGGTGTCCTTCAACGAGACCTCGGTTCTTTCGTGGCAACAGTCTTGACCTTTTTCCGCTTTTTTTCATCATCGTTAGCACCTGTGTTCTAGGAATGGACTCTGAATTCTTAATCTCCCCAGACATGGATCAAACCAACCTCTTCATAAGTTATTCTTTTTAAACTCGTGTTTTTATGTTTGAAGTCATCAAGAGTTATGATGATTTGCATCAGAGAAGCTTCCGGCGTGCTTCTCTGCTGTCACGAACCCGGTCACGAACCCGGTTCTGCTGTCGCTCTTGGGACGAAACCGAGCACGGATCCGGTAAAGAACTTTTTCGAGGCCAAGCTCAACTCTGCTATTTCTTGTGCTATTTAGCTATCAGGGCGTCCACGGATCTTTTGAGACAGTGACAGACAGTGATGAACGAGGATGACGGAGAAACGAACGGACCAGAAGCGTTAGTAAGAACTTCCAGCGCTCAATGGATTTTCGGCACCAACAAGAAGTTTTTGCACAAGTACATCCCAGTTGTACATGCAAAAAGGGCATCAGATTTGACTGGTGCCGTGAACGGCCCCTCAAGTGCGTGCATGGATTTTTGGTCTGTTCAGTGGGGGGGGGGGTCCTCCACCCAAGATCTCCCTCTTCTATGTATTCTATACAGACCCACCATGTTAACCAATTTTGGCCTACCTACCTACTAGGAAGTACGTCGGTCACCTGGAGGAGCTTCTTGGGGTATTGGGGACACCCCAGGTTGTTCAGGGAAACCGAGGGAGTCAGCTTATGTTTCTTTCCCTTCAAGCCTTCAAGGCCGGAGATGTGATCATTCAGGTTCTTGTGTTTTCTGCGTTCATTCATCAACCAGAAAAACCATCGGCTTCTGGTTTCAGTGTACAGTTGATGAATCTGCACCCCCCCAACCACCAAACATCATACCTCTCCATGAACGGTGGTTATTGTATGTCATTGTTGTTGTTAAATGTTTTCCATTGTTTTCCTGGTGTCCCTGTTTTCTACCGCTTTCTTTCGCAAAAGACAACGTCGCGCAGTGGGCGGCACCACGTTGGCCGGGAGCATGGAGGACCGGACGGGAGCATGCGCTGGTCATGCGGGGTGTCAAGACTTTCCGAAACGCAGCCAGTTCTTAAAGTTTGACCCAGGAAGTAGGTGGGACCTGACAACATTTTGAGGGGATTGGGCACTTTTCCTCACAGGTGGAACAGATCATTTTTAATTATCCGCAAAGCAGTTCAGGAATGTTCTGTTGAACTCTTTTCCCGTGGTGGATTTTCCGGGCTCCTTTATCCCTCGACATGGAACTGGAACTGCTGGAAGAACTGGTGATTTTCTCTCAAACCCTTGATGCATCGGAAGGGGCCTGTAAGTAAGCCAAAGTAAACCTCTTATATCATTTAACTTGCAGCCATCTTCCAGTTGATTGGACACCATCATCGGGTGTTTCTTGACACGTCACCTTTGGGTCGTTTTTTTTGACGGATCACTTGCTTTCTTGTTCCCTGCCCCGGTCAGGAGAGTCAGTCGGACCACACACCCGCGAGGTCGTCCACTTCAGTGGGGCCACCCAGAGGCGGTCGGTCCGAAAGCGCTGCGCCCGACGCCGCGTCGACAGGACCACCGGTGCGAGACCCCCGCAGACGGGGGCCGTTGCACGGCCACGGATCGTGGAACTTTCTGGTTCCTGGAGACGAGAGCCGTGCACCAAAAACAACACATGCAAGGCACCGTCCCAAACGGCACGGTCCGCTTTCCCGTTCCGGTTCGTGACCAACGGACAAGCCCCGACGGGGCTGAAGACCGTCCGGCCGGCTCAGCGCCGCCCGAGGCGGAGTCCGCTCCGAAGAAGCTGTCGGGTGAATCGCTGAAGGCGTCGGGATGGGACCGGAGCCCGGTCGGACCGTGCCGGTCGCCCCGTCCAGAGGTGGGCGGGGGGGCGGTTTGGCACCCCAATGGGACAAACATGAGATACACAACGATCCATATCATGATCATACAATGGAGTGTTTGGGTTTATACACATTTGTTGGTACGCCGTTGAGAGATCCTGGAAGCCGTTAGATGTCATGAGCGGGATGAGCGGGTTGGAGGTCTCACCATTTGCTGAGACCACCGGTGGAAGGTTGGAGCAAGGACGATGGCATATTCTCGAAGCCAGCTTAACCCTAGGGATTTCTGGCCCACCATTGATTTCATCACCTGAATACTGCACCATGGTTTTACAGCAGCGATAGGGATATCCACCGAGAGGAGTGCAAGGGAACACCGAACACATCAAGCTGCGAGAGTTTCACATCGATCACCACACAAACACGTCGTCCGCCATCCGCGACGAGGACGACGTGTTGGTGTTTCCGCATGGATTTGGGGTTTTGGGGGTTTAGGGCGGAGACTTCTTTCTGGGAAGAGGTCGGGTCCAAGATTCTTGGGGGCGAGACCATGAGATCGCTCTCTGTTCTTTTTTGGACGATTTTTGGACTCCGAGATTGGTTGGGTATGGGAAGAGAGACCTGGGAAGAGACGAGAGGTCTTCATGCAGAAGGTGGAAGGTGCCTCGAAGCTCTATGCGGAGGCCGTTCTACAGCGCATGCCACTGTTTCGTCCGTGGACGTGTTTCGTGGGACGAAGAAGGTGTCTTGTTCCACTTGTTGCAAGCAAACCCGTGCAAAAAAGCCTGGCGACCGGTGCTGCTCTTTTTCGTTACACTTCGTGTCACTCGATAGTCCACTTATGGAGAAAGGGATAGGATGGAGGGTTGAGTTAGAGCGGTTTGGTGGAGCATCGCTAGAAGAACATGCCTGGCAGGACTGTTTGGAAGAAACTCTTGAAGATCTTCAGTCAGCCATTTGAACCATCAATAGCAGGTGGATCTTCTCACTATGCAAAATGTTTGCTTTCTAAAGGCAGATATGTTGCACAATTAGTTGGAAGATATCACAAAACTCTGCCTCCAACCTAATAGCAATGGCCTCCAACCGAATAGCGATGGCCTCCACCCTAGTAGCGATGGCCTCCAACCTCCCAATTAGTTGGAAGATATTGCAAAACTCCCATAAATTTGAGTTCGTCACTCGCCAGCGGCACGAGAATCTCGCGCCGCCAAGCCAAGCCATAAAAGGAAACACTGTTCCCACTGTATCTGTGATGAAGGTCCCCTATCCGATCATAGATAGACATCTTAATATTCCCTGGAGGTCCAAGGGCTAAAGACTATCCCAGCCAAAGTGGATGGACATTCCTAGGAGTAGATCATTTAAAGACGCAAAGTCCTCGTCTTCTTGCCCCAACCGCCGCGAACGGGTGCCAGTCCCTGCACCGGGCGGTCCCGCGTGCCGTGGCAGGCTTTGAAAGATGGTGCCTTTGCGCCCTGGCGGCGGCCCGGAAGGCTCTTGGACCTTCATGGCATGAGCAGTGAGGCGAGGGCGGGGTCGGTGCACCACAGGTGCGGTCGAAGGACCCCGGAGTTCCCCCAGGGTGTGAAGCCTCTTCAGGCGGATGAAGGAAGCCGTCATGAAGCCGTCATGAAGCAAAGGATCCCATGTTCAGGTGATCTGATGGTGATCTGATGGTGGGCTTGCAGGAAGGCCAAGATAGCGGCGGGAGACCGACCTTGGCGTGGCCACAGTTACTCTTGCGGCTTCCACATAATGTAGCGTCCACCCAAAGATCATTCTGCATGAATCAGCTCAATGACCTTGAGCATGAGTGAGTAATTGGAAAGCTGGGGTAACTCCCTCATCCTGAACATGTAGATCAGATCCACTATTATCATCGAAGCCAAGAAGATTCCAGGTGAGGGCATGGGTTCTTAGGCACAGGATGGCTGAGAATATTTTTTTCCGGCTGATGGCTGATGCCATTGAAAGACTTAGTAAAACAGAACGAACAAAAGGAACATATGGGAACATGGATCCTCGACATTCAGGGACTCATGATCATCTGGGCATGAGCAAAAAGAGAACCTTCAGGGTCCCCGTTTGTCCTAAAAAAGATATCTCTACTGCATGTGTGGGCGGAAACATATTTTTGGACTCACAGCCCAGAGCGCCCCCTCAAAAGGAATTATGAAACCAAACCGTTTTTGTTACCAGGGCTTTTTGTGGGTACTTGGGTTGTTGGCATCCAGATTCTCCCTGTTGCAGCTTCCATATTTCCTTTGGTTCCCACATCTTCAGAAGATAGTTAACCCTCCCAAATCTACTCGCTGAAACCAGTGTACCTCTAATTTTGCTCGGCTCGGCGCCTCAGCAGTCTTTTAAGAACCAGCTTTGGGGGGACGAAACCGCCCCATCTCGCGCTGCATGCATCGGTGCCCCCAACCGGTGCGGAAGATGGCAAACACGTGCGTGCCTCGATGGCCAGATCTCGCCATTCGATGTCGCCATGCCATTCCCGGCGTCAGGTGGCCAAAGTGGCGGTCTACATGGCACTCAAGGCGTCGCTGTCGGGTCGGTCCGTCGGGTGACCGCGGATGGAAGGGATTGAAGAAGGGTTTCGTCTTTGGGTTGGTTTTGGGGGACCCCAAAAAAGGGACACTCCGACGACTCTGGAGCTCCAACTTGGAACTGAGGTGTGGAACTTCCGAAACACCCCGAGCGTCCCAAGTGCACCATTCGAGTGTTCAAGTCACTTTCTTGAGTCTCTAGTATTTGTAATTGGACTCCGCCTTGGGGCTAGCGGCTTGGGATCAAGGGTTCTATTCTGAAAAGAGCAACCAATGTGATATGTTGGCCTTTCGAAGGAAATTGGAGCAAAAGAGGCAATGTCTTATGTTGCAACATAAGCTTTAGTGGAACATTGGCTGCGCCGCGTCTGCGCCCTTCATTACCCAGGTACTCTGTACTTTACCCACTACACCATCGCCAAAAGTGAGACACTCATGTACAAGTAGTACCCGGGCAAGCCTGGGGCGGAAGTTTGAACCGATATGATAGACGTGATAGAGACCTCGATGTAGCATAAATCCTTGCATACTACTCCCCTGCAGATTAACATGGAACACCAAAACCACTGGGTTGTAGAGGAAAATGGTCTTCCACAGGTCAATTCTCAGGTTCTATGTTAGTTTGCGGGGGAGAATACACAAACTCAACCGTGGAGAACCACCAATCACCATCACTTCAAAGACCTGCCACCATCGCCACAGATCTTAAAGAACTCGTCCCATTCGTCAGGAACCTCTTGTGGCTCCACCGTCCAGTATTTTCCTTTTTTCCCCAGATACTGGTAGCGACAGCTATGGGGTTCTTACTTCAAATAGGAATGAGCTGCCTGCGCGCGCGCAATCGAGACCCGCTGCCAGCACTCGCACGGCCGTGCGGGGAAAAATAAGGACACGCTGGCAGTGCTGGTGGCGGTGTTGGGTGCCGGTGCCGTGAGCTGGGTGGACATGTTAAAGCTTAAAGATGAAGATGGTGTGCGAGACTTTCTCAACCTGGGCGACATACCATGAGGATCAGGTCAAGGGCGATGTGGAGAGCAATCCGTCTTGGCTCCGCCACTACGTACACTTGAGCTCTTCGAAGATGGACCACCATCACCATGGATTTCCCACCTTCAAATGAACAAGCATTGTGCCCTTGACCAACTTCAAGGCCATGCGACTCTTGCAAGGGCTGAGGCAAAGGTGACTTCAGACGACAAGGGTGCAAAAGATCGTAGAGCACCCTTGCAGGGAAGCGTCTCCTGGAAGGCTTTTCACTTGCAAAGGGCATTCTTGTGGAGCACTTGACATCCAAGTTGCGGTGCTGGTCCAAGCTGCCTTGGAAGTTGGCAGCCCTGGCCCACCATGATGAGGCCTATGCAAGAAAAGAGGCTACCGACATGATTTGCCAATTCGACTCTTCGCTGCAGGACAGGGATTGCCACCATCGCTTGAAGCTGAAGTTCTTGTCCAGAGGCAGCCCTGGGAGGGCAGAGCTAGAGCCACCTTGCAAGGTTTGGGGACCCTTTCAGATGTACTCCTACAGCCGAATAACCAACACATACCTTGGGAAGCGATGCCCGCACTGGGAGCTATGTTAGTTGCCCTTTGAGGCTCAGCGAGTTGCTTGCTATTTGTGACCAGCCACTGGAATATGTGCAACTTCAACAAGCTTGTAAAGATTTTTGCAGATGTCCGGAGGCCTGACTTGCTTGCGCGATACATAGGGTTTTGTGGGCACCCTTTGTGGAAGGATGCGGAGCACAAGCAGTTTAGTTGGGCATTGAAACTGCAGCTGGCAAACCCTATCATGCACAGCTTAGACCCTGAAGCTCAACACGCGGACGATGTTAAGCATATTGTGAAAAAGCGAGACAAGCTGTCTAACCAGAAGAAACAAAGATACAAACAAACACTGTTTCGAAAACTACTGAAGCCACCACAGAGAAGTGGACAGAAGAACATGCCCAGCGGATGGCCGTAGCACGTGCAAAGCCGCTAGGCCGTGTAGGCCGTGTTCCACCGGTTTTTCTTCTCCGGTGACTCTGTGGCACTGCAAGTAGCGGGTGACTCCGGTGGCCCAACGACCAAAGCAAAGTGAGAGAAGGTGCCAGAAGCAGATGGAGAGGACACCCCCACTTCATCTTCTGTCAGGATAGCAAGAGAGTTGCGAATTGAATTATGTGACCTGTTTTCAAAGTGCTGGTGTGCAAGCCAAGTGCTAGGAAAAGTGTGGCCTTACCTGCTGCTGCTGCTGCTGCTGTGAATGTTTCTTCGCCAACGGACATGTGCGTCGCTCTGCACAAGGCTTTCGTCCGTGAGTCATTGACTTCTGCAGGAGAGAAAGTGGACGGACACCTTTGTTTCCCTGGCAAAAGTTTGTGTCCATGATGAAGGCACCTTGGCAAAGCTAAGTCCCCGCACCGAACAGAAGAAGAACTGTTGTTTTAAGTTGTTGGTCAGCAATGAAGCTCATGTGCACTGAATCGTTTGAAGACCAGGCGCCCACACATCAACTTCAACTTGGCCTTGTCACTCAGTATCAGCTGCTGTTCTGAACATGTTTGCCTAAGAATGCTGGAAACCACCTGTGCAGCCCAAAAATGTGTGACTCAGCAGCTGTCCCTGAACCTTCAGACATTTGCCATACAGTTTGCAAACATGCCACACATAAGAGTTTGCAATCCATTTACCATACACAATGAACCAAATCTAACAATCTATGCAATCCCTTTGCCATACCCCAGCTTGTATGGCAAACACCGTGGATCGCAAACTGTGTTGCACGTTTTTCATTTGTTTCCCAGAAACCACCGGTACGCAGTAAAAAAAAATAACACATTTTGGCACCTTCCCTTTCTGAATACGTCAGCCTTAGGGACTCTACTCTTGGTTCGACCACCTCCTTTGTCACCAATAACCCCAGGACCATCGTAGGAGGGAACCGGCGGAGTCTGCAAAGCAGGCTGTGCTTTGTTTGTAGTATTACTTTGTTTGCAGTTCGCAAGGGTCCCGGTATTTTTCTCTGGTTGTTGCTCACCTGATGTGGAACCCGATCGACGTCGTCGTGCCGATTGACGTTTGGAACATGGAGGCGATCCCCGACCTGGCGGAAGATGACTTAGCGTTCTTATGGCGACCGTCGGCACGTTTGGCGGGTGAAGCTTTGCGTAACCGTCGTGTGGACGGTGGATTCATAAACAAAAACACCCTAGTAGGATTGAAGAGGGTTTTGGAATCGATGTTTGGGGTGGTGTTTTCATTTTTTTCATCAAACGATATCAAACGTCTACTCTACTTGTCAGTGTCTTTCCAAGCAGAGAAGGGTTTTGCACAGACACTTGAATCCAAAGCATCGATTTGTCCAGGCGTTGCCCGCCTCGGTTTTGTGGGGGCAAAAAACGCATCGGTCAACATCCCATGTGAGCGCAAACTCAGTCGTTGGTTTGTCATGTCTCTCATTTTCGAATGACTCTCGGTCGACCTTGATGTGGACTGTTGATAGGAATCATGGGTGTTTATTCCAAGACTGGTCTGAGTGGGACACTGATCCAACAGTCCTTTTATGATTTGTGTCTTTAGGTTGGCGTAACATAATTTTGAAGTAGGTGTTTCCCAAAGAACCCCTGGAAGAAAGAACGTTTGGTTGGTGGTCTGCATGGTCAAAAAGTAGAGGAACATGATTGAGTTTGTTGATCCAACATGTTGTTGTTGTTGTTGCTGTTGCTTTCAATGGATTTGGAACAATTTCGCTTCCAAGGCGGTCCGGCTGGCACGTCAACCTATCCCAACACACACTGTGAACCTTTGCCAGGGGACTCAAACTGATCGTGGGCAAGGGCAATCATAGCAAGGACAACGAGCTGCTTGACAGGAGGGTGTGGGTCGGGCGATGTCTATTTTTGCTATGGGTATATCCCTTTCTGGGGGATAGTTTATGTTTTTTTCCCGTTCCTGGAGAGAAAATCCACGGTTGTGCCTCTAGACCCCATTCCACAGTGGGACTCGTAATTGATCCCATTCCGAAAACATTTCACACGGTTTCCTCCCAGACAGTGACGCCAGTCGTACCTTCGTTTCGAAGGTGTTTGGGAAGGGTGCCAAGGGGGTCCAGTCATACCTTCGTTTCGGAGGTCCAAGTGGAGCCCATCTGGGCTGGTGGTCGATGTCTTGCCTGGTGCGAGGTCTCCAGCGGTGGTGATAAGATCCGACAGAGCGGCAGTACGCGGTTGTTCCCGTTCGCCTTCCGTTCGACCATTAAAAGAAATGGAAGCAACCAGATACCGGGTTCTGTACTGTAAAATCCTTAGTAAAACAACGGTTCTTCGGGAAAGACCATTAAATCAATGGTGGGCCAGGAAACCTAGGGTGTTCGGTAAAGACCGCAGGCGGTACTCCAGCGATTCTGGCCACTTTTGGGCAGCTATGATATTTCTGGGGGCATGCAGTTTTAACATTTATATAAATGGACACAACACCCTTCAGTATCACCAAAGTCCAGAATCGGCACGAAACTGGAGCAGCTGGCCGGTCCTTGTGGGGAAACATGACAAGACGAAGTCACGCGCAAGCTTTGGGGCGGGGGGTTTGACAGAGTGAGGTAGACCTACCTCCCTTCTTGCCACTTTAATGGTTGATCCCCCCATCGGGATCCTCCCAGTTCTTAGAGAACGACACCACGGGATCGGTGCGGTGACCGGAGCGGTGACCCACCATCCGGTTCCGGCACGGCACAACGGTCCGGGTTCGACCTCCAAAGGAGTCTTTTGAAGGACCAGATAAGACGATTTGTAAAGGGAAAGACCCCTGCAGATCAGACGATTTACCTCAAGGGAGTGCGTATTATATGGTATAAGGGAAGTGCCTCCCCTCCGCCGGAACCCCCGCGCCGTTTCACCGGTCGAGACCGTGCCGGCGCCGCGGAAACTCATTCGACAGCGCGTGCGTTTGACGTTTGAGGGTGGTGCTGGAACCGGTGATTCGGCAGCTGCTGGAGGAGGCACTCGCTCGCGTGGATGGCCCATGGGGGCATTTTGGGGGCTCAAGAGTGCTTGGATTGTTTGGGATATCTGCGGCATGGTCGAGACGCATCGTCCAACATTCGAGACCTAAAACTGGGTGCTATGATTTTTGTAAAAAATATGGGTGGAGTGCGACTGAGATCAAGTGCCTTCAACATTTGTGAAGATGACTCGGGTGCAAAGCGACTCACGGGAAGCAAAAAGGGCGACTCACCCAGTAACTTGACCATGTAACAGCCGCACTATTGAACACATTGACCGGGATGACCTCCTGTACCATAAGAATCCGTAAGAATCAAAGACTGTGTTTCAGGTGTTGATGGTCCAAACCTCTGCGAACTGCAGGGTCAACGCCCCTCATAGGAGGGCCCAATGATGGTTAGGGCAAAGGGTATCTTTCGCACCCGTGGCCATTGGCTTCTCGCCACTAAGCACTGGACTTCAGTTGGTGCAAACATGTAACCTCGAGGGCGGTTTTCTGCAGGTCCCAGAAAACACCTAAGCACCTGAGCACTGCTTGAATTCCCTGCGTTCTTGGCTTCTCTTCCACTTCAGAGAAGCCAGAAATCCACTGGTTTTGCTCCTCATCTTCCCCTTCCAACCTCTTTGCATGTTGAAAGTGGGCCCTAAATAGATAGAAACGGTTTCCAATAGATAATTTCCGATCTATTTGGGGGTCTGTATATTCCGATCTCTTTCGGCTTCGACGCTTTGTGGCCAGTGGCCGCGAGGTCTTCCGGCTGCGCATCACCAAGACCGTCGAGGGATGCTTTCGAGTGCTCGCCGAGGACGGCGCCAGGCTTTCGACGGTGGGTGTTGGTGCAAGATGCGGGGCTTCCATGCATCATGCTCACAAGTGTGTGCAAGCGCAGAAGGAGAAGGAGAAGTGGCTTTTCACAGTACTGGATTTCGACCAATTCGATGTGGGGTTGGGGCCCAAATGGCTTTTTAGCTCCAACTTGTGCGTGTTCTGAGCGAGACTTCCCAGATCTAGTCACGGCATTTGCAGATCTGTCGCTGGGAAGGTCTTTGGTATGTGAAGGAAAGCAAGGGAATAGCGTGAATGCCCAAAGTTCAGCAACTCACAGCAAAACAGATCGCGCACATGCTTGTATTGGTAGAAGGCCTGTGCAAACGCACAGGATCAAATTTCCGTTGAGGTACGCAGAAGTAGCCATCAGTGAGTGCTTGCCCTACTCGGATGGTCAGCATCCATTTCGAAAGCTGCGCTGATCTTCAGCCTGCAATGCTTACTCCAGTGGACCCTGATTCAGCTCAGCTCATTGGTTGTACACACACACACATTCGCACATTCACGATTGGATCGCTGGCAGCGTTTTCGTGTTACAACATGCATGTGCCGTGAGCCCCAAAATATAAAACATAATCAATTGCAACGAAGGTGCATGGATGGCTACTTCGTTTTGGTTGCTCAGATTAATCCATGGCAGTTACCGTCCTATCACCATGTCTTTGAAATCTATCACTGACATCCATATCCATATCATTCTGAATTTGTGTTTGTACCTGTTCAATCTGCCTGTCCCACATGGGATGTGGGACAACACCTGTCCGTCCGGAACCGAGTGCCACCTGATGAACGGGATCACCATATGGTTTGTTCCACATGTTTGACGATGGACCGTTTGCACCGTTTCAAACGTACAACTCCCGCAGAATCAGTTCCAAATTCCGTAGAAATTCTTGAACACAGTGTACTTCTTCGAGATGGCGCCTATGGTGGGCAAGTTATTGTTCTCTTAAATCTCAATTACATTCAATTACATATGTTCTTCGCTTGTTTCTATCAGTTTTAAGGCCACTACTACAGTCTGGTTACCTGGGTTGGACTTTTTGGGCATTAGATGCTCAAGGAGTGCTGCTTAGGAATCAGAGTCCAGGTTCAGCTTACCACTGTCCAGCTCCAGATGGAGCTGAACCTCTCCTCCGCCATTCACCATCCTGGTATCCTGGCTGGTTTCAGAGATGTTCAACCTTTACTTGGGGATGATTGATCAGGATTGATCCCCAAGTCGACCCATATGACTCATATGTTTCTGTTTCGAACAGTTCTTTCGTTTTGGTTGAAACCACGCTGTCCCCGCCGTACTCCTCACGGTCACCACCCGCCCTCGGAAGAATCGAGTCTTTCGCGAGGACTTGTGGGCCATCCGACAAGAGGCCCATCCGACATCTTCGTGACCGGGGGAGCGGACGGAGCGAAGGAGGGAGGACGGATGGTGGGAGGGTCGGATCTTCTAAAGGCTGATATATAGTTATATAGTCATATGCCAGGCGTGGTGGAACTTGCTCCATATGCCAGCAATTACCTCATCAGGCAATACGCCAGATAATATGTAAGATAGTGTGCCCAGATACCTAACATGTCAGCAAACCATGCAAGGTAATATGCCAGAAGATACGCCAGATAAGGTGTCAGAACATGTAAGAATTATGTCTGAAGGTTTTCCAGATTAAATGCCAAAGGAGTGGCAGACATACAGGTTTTGGACCAAATCTCACTTGTCCTCCATTGAGGGGTTCAGTGGCTAAAGTAGACAGCTCTATTCTTGGAAAAGTAGTAGGCAGGGGCCAGGGGATAATCCAACTAAGAATACTAAGACAAAGCAAAAAGAACCACTAGTGACTGTTCTGAGTGAAGATGCTTGGGGCAATCATTCCTGTCTCTGTTTAGGAACCAACACATGCCAAGTCAGGTGATGTATGGGGCTCACCTGTGCCGGGGATAGTATTTGTCAGTTCCGACGTAAGAAAGCAGCCACAAATCTCTTGCTCTGGGTTCGTTCGGCCCTTTTCATATTGAGCCAAGACCGGTGTAATCTGCCACCAACAGGATTAAGCCTTTTTGTACCCTGAAGTTACAGGGGGGCCTGAAGGCCTGAAGGTATGAATATGTATGAAGGTATGAGACTTCACTATCCGCAGACCGCCACAGAGTCCGCTCTCTGCTCTCCGTGGCGTCCGCTCCACCGCCGTTCTCAGTCCTCGTCCGCTCCAGGGTCTTTGGCCCCCCGAGTGGTTGAAGGAGGGCCAGGAGCCTCCCAAGGCAGCGCGCGATGGTTGCGTGCGGAGTGCGGTTTGGTGCGGTCGGAGATCGCGGTGTTTGGGGAGAGGAAGAGGAGACCAGCAACGCACCAACAGCAGACTGACCAGTTGAACCTAGAATAGAAAAGACATGGGCCGGAAGAGCATATTCCTCTACAAGGCTCATATTTTCAGGTTCTATATCTGATCTATGTTAGTCTGCAACAAGGGTGTACTTTTGGACGAAGTCTCTGGGCCCATTAGCGGAGGTCAGGGTTCGCTCGAGTGACCAGAAAGAACGCATCTCAGAATCTCTGGACTGTGACATACCTCATAGGTGTGGGGAGTGATTCCAAACACCCAAAAAAAGTGGGAGCAAGTTGAGCTTCCAATTCCATGTTTCATCCATTTTTTCCGAAGACCAAACACTGGCCTCTTCCTACCTATGGTCATCGTTGCCTCGCGGTGAAACACCATCTTCGACAGTCGACCGACTTGGAAGGCCACCGACCACCTGCTTGGTCCGACTGGTGGGAAACACAACCACATCTGCACTGGCCTATTTGGGCAACATGAGCCACACCGAATCATAACCACCTGCTTGGTGCTTCAAGGCTTTTGCAAGCGTCCAACCGGGACAAGGATGCTCGCTTTTCTTTGTTCAGGATTCTTCAGGTTCCAAACCAAGCAGTCAGCCCAACCCAACGAACCCCAAGCAGTCAGCACACAACGACTCGATTCATCCGGAGAACTCGCTTCCTTCCAAGGCTTGGATTCGGCGAAAGGTGACTCTTCCCAAGAGCATCAGCGAGTTTCACCAGTCTCGTCTGAGCCTTTTGCGTGGACGGAGGTCGAGAAGCCGCTCGAGACTGAGGTCGAGTTCCAGAAAGCAAAAGAGGGCGCGGTCGGTGTGATTTTTTGAATCCCGAGTCCGTGTCTGTGTGCTTAATTTCTCCATAATAAAAATGGCACAGAAAGGATGACACCAGTTCGCGGTTTTGCCCCTCACAAGGGTTTTGGACCAAACCAACATGTAGCAGTGGGTTCGGGGCGCCTCATTCGGGTCGCCTTATGGTGACCCTAGGGTGAGTGTGATCCCACCAGGACAAGAGAGGGGATACCCCGAAATGAACATCCGTCTATGGTATCTGGCAGGAAACCCTGCTATTCCCAAGGTCAGACATAGAAGAGGAAACACCTTGGTCCTTCTATCACTAACCACTCAGACGAACACAGAATTCCAGTTCTTTTAGGGACCTTGCAGGAGGGATCCTGCTACTGAGGATGGAACATGATGGAACACCATAAAATGGCGCTTCCGACGTGCAGTGCCGGCCACCGGGTGACCAGCACTCCAAACGAGCCAACCGCTTGCGCGGTCGCTTAGCCTCTCCCCAAGCAGTTTGGGACTCCTAAAAGGGGGGTTCTACATTGGCGGACATCATACAAGCTGAACAGACCAGTGGCACGATACTGGGGCTACTGTGCTACTTCTACTTTGCTTTGTGGAAAAGAAAGAACTGGCGATCCTTAGATCCTTCGAAGACTAAGCGAACCATGAAGGATCACCGGCTTAAGATGTAATTTTTTTAATACAATATATTATTGTGTGTGTATATACCACCACCTCCAACAGTTTGAGTACCCTAAGAGGTGCTGAACCACACCGGAACTTGGTCACCAGGAAAGAAAATCGTTAAGGACTTGGAAAAAGGTCTGATGTTTCTCCGGTTTGACCGAGAAGTGGTGCCACGACGTATGTTCTTTTCCAGATGGATTTCGACTCCCTAGGAATCCCCCACTCGAGGGGAGTCCGCCCCCCAGTCTTCGTGCCTGGAGAACGGCCACAAGAACAGGTGAAGTTCGTTCCCACCTTCACTTTCCAGGGATCTCCTTCAAGTCAGCCTTCAGGATCCATTCCCCGCTCTCACTCCTGCAGCATAGTTCGAACAGATCAGCTCCCAGCAACACCCAGTTTGGGTGGTTTATAGGAACCCCCCTACTAATCCTACTCTTTGCTTACCTTTCAATCTCCATCCTGCCAGGGTGCTTGGAGAGTTCGAATGTTCAGAACCTAACTCCTCATGGGCCTTCATTCAAATCACCCAAACTCCGGCCTTTGCCCATCCAAATCGCCCTGCGCAGTTGCTGGCCTCCTTCGGCCTCTCTGCGAGTCACAAGGCAAGACTGGGCAGTTCGCGGCGGCTGTCGTTCGCTCAGACTGGGCCATTCGCTCAGTCAATCGGTTCGTGTGATTCCAAGACAGGCATTCCCCTTTTCCCGTCGAGCAAAGCCCTCGACGTGACCCTCAGTCCTGTTTCTAAAGAGGCTGCAGGCTGCAGTCCCCTTTCCTGCCGGGTGGTTCGTACAGAGAGTGAGCAGTTATGCGGATCCGGATCACCTTTGCCCTTGGAAACCTGATAGGCGCATCAATGCGCCGCCACATGAGCATGACTGGGCGTAAGTATGTGAAGTGGAAAACATGGTTCTAACAGAAGTTCGTATTCTTTCCAAGGCTCATGCTATCCACATCCATTTTTCTGTGTGAGTTTTCTTAGTTCCGGGATGATATCCTGCGCAGACAAGAGCACCACTCAGGGGAAGTGCAGTAGTCCTGGTCCAATCGCAGATGAACAACGTGTTCACTGGACATCGTGTTCACTGCGCATCTCCCACATGAACCCAGTGTCCAGGCGCAGCTTTTCTTGCGTTTGACATCGTGGAGATCAAGTTGTCCATAGGATTTGGATGGTACAGAAGGCTCCACATAAGCTGACGACTGCACAGGTTTGAAGTAAATGTGCAGTCTTTTAAGTCTACTGGGAAGCTGCATCGAACGGGTCTCAAGAAGTTCAATCCTTCTGGTACACAAACAGACGAACACATCACATGTGCAACATGTAACTCAGTGGATGGGCATGAACCTCTATAGGTTGTTCCAAATTTTTATCTTTGGAAGGTGCACATCACCCACATCTATCCACTTGTCCTGTACGCGCAGATGCCTTTTTCGCCTCCGTTCGTTCCAGGCTGCGAGCGGCTCAACTCGGATGAGACACTGAGACCGCCCGGTGCGGCGCCAGAAAGGCGAACACCCGGGGTCGTTCCGTTCCGGAACGCAGAGGGACTGGGGTTCGTTTTGGAAGGCGTGTCGACCTGATGCCTTGATGATGTGTGGTTTCTATGTCTATGTCGTTTTCCTGTGTGGGTCAGGACCTTTTACCGTTTTGTTTTCCACTTGGTTCTGTCCGTTTTGTCCCCACTTTGTTTTGTCCCCACTATGTATATAGTTGGCGTGGCGTTTTTTTTTCAGGTTTTGTTTTCTCTAGTTCTTCTGATGTGTGGTTTCTATGTTTTTTCTTCCTGTGTTGATCTGTTTTTTGTGTTTTCCTCTAGTGGTAGTTTGAGTCTTTAGAGGAGGAAGGAGCCATGCAAACATAGTATATATACCGTTTGTGACCCCTCCGAGGGTAAAGTTCAGAGGAAGAAGGAGCCATGGAAACGTCGCACACCCTTTCAATGTCGCATACCTTTTTGTCCACCTGGGAGTAGATTTTGGAGAAGGAGGCCATTCCAACGCAAGCAAACCTTACCCCCGCCGAGGGTAGCCATGCAAACGTAGCATACCTTTTTGCGACCTCTACGAGGGTAAACATTGGAAAGGAAGGAGTTATTCCAATGTTAATGCAGCACACCTTTTGTAGGCCACAAAAGAAGGCAACATTCAGAGCAGGACCTAAGGAACAATTCCACTGAGTAAACAGCAGTCTATTTTTCGTGTACTCTTTGGAACCCCCTCTCACACCAAGACATCTGCAACCTTTCCGATTTCCAACCTGCCACGAAATCCGACTGAGTGACTCAGGGCGACGCCCAGTCCCTTCCAAAAACCGTGACTGAGTGGACGTCTTTTTGGTCCAAACACCTTGCGTGTCCGCGTGTCTATCTTCCAAAGGATCCTAAACGGACGATCCACGGGATAATCCACCCATCTATACCTCCAGTACCATAATATGACATTGAGTCACACAGACACTAGGCAGAAAAAAAAACCTCCAGTACCTAACATAATGGTTATTGAACTGGAGGAGTGTGCATTTGGATGAGCGCCATCTATCCAGCATTTTTTTGTTTTTTGTCCGTTGCTCCAGTTTGCATGTGTTATGTCTGGGGATTCTGCTAAGGAGACATGATGAGACACATGTCAATACTCGGACAAGTTTGCTCTGCTTTACAGGTGGTTTATTTTCGTGGCTGATTGGGATGGACCTTTCAGAAGTTCGAACTCGACAAAGCGCGAGAAAGCGCTCTCCAGAGAGGGACACCCAGGACAAGATCTTTTGTGACGTTTGAAACCTCAAACAACCAATTGTGACATCCAGCTGACGATTTGGTGAAACCATTCTCAAGTGGATGTTGGCGTCCAGACAATTCTGACCCCGGAATAATTATTGATGTAGGTCACCTGGGTGTCCCGAAAACAGCGAGGCAAATCCAAATAGAAGAGAGATCCTTCGTAAATGCCGCTCCTTTCCTCCTTTCCGTGCGCCCAGTGACACAAAGTGGTGCTGGCTGCCGTCCACGGGGTCGGTAGGAAGAGTCGGACCGGGTCGGACCTGGTCGGAGTCGCGACGTCCGATTGAATGAGACGTCCGTTCCCAAGAACATGTTTTGCGGATTTCAATCGTTCAACCGTTCAGATTTGAGTGGTTTGGGTTGTGATTGGTGTGGTTGGTGTTCAGGCACTAAAAACGGTTTGAAGACACCGCCCTTTTTCAACCATGGCCAGGGACATGTTCCCATCTGCCAGGTGCTTTTGGTCCCACCAACATTCCATGCTTTAGATTGTTTTGTGCCAGATGAGTCTCTGCCTTTCTTGCATGCCTTGAACATCGGTGATGTTCCAGCATCTTCGCATGCCAAGAGTGGTGAAACCAGGTCCAGATAGGCACCTGTTTTGGAAAAACCATGCCAGCCCAGGGCTCAATCATGTTCACTGCTTAGGGCTTAGGGCTCAATCAGGCAGCGTTTGTGAGTCAATTTCGGTTGCCCAGTGGACTATGAGGACATCGATTCTACCTCGACTGGTCTCAAAGCTGCCTACAGGGACTTCTCAAGACGTGAGCCCCCTCTTCAAGGCAACCTAGATCAACATAGAAATGCCCTGTTCCTGGCATTTCCTGGCCCACCATTCATTTTATTGGCTGAATCCGGCTGAATCCTGAACAACCACGTTTACTCAATATTTTATACAACAAACCCGATGCAACCATTTTTCTCAGTGGTCGAACGAAAGGCTACGTGTCAACATCAGTATTCGTGGAGTACCATCGGCTGATCCATACGGAGTTGCTGCTTTCGTAGGCAGCTCAAACACCACACAGTTGGTTTAGGCAGCTGTTGTAGTCGGAATGAGCCTTTACCAACGGACTTCTGTTCTTCCACATTTTTGAGAGGGTTTATGTCATTGAGGTCTCAAAGTCTTTGAGACAAGTTCAAATAATCTCTGCGTCCAATGTCGGCTGGGTCGAAAGCGCTACGTGAGACTGAACTTTCTTGTTCCGCCAGATGTTTTGCTTCTTGCAGCTGTGCAACATGTTTATTCCGAAGACTGGCCTCAAAGACAGGATCTCCCATAGCTGCATAGCTGCACTGAGACAAGAACCTGAGCACCAGGATATCTTGCTTGCCCACGAGCAGGGATGTGTGATTAAAAGCAACGTCGATTTGGACAGTCCACGAACGCTTCACGAACAGACCACCAGCCCGGGCATTTGCGAGCAGCGCCGGCCCGCGCGCGAGCAACTGCGACCTGTAAATGCAATGTTGACCAGAAGCCCACCACTTGGGTGCTGACGGTGATTTTTGTGTTCTCGTTCTTGTCAAGCTGTGTTTCATTTTATTAATATACCTGACGCTGCTTTCTTCTAGTGAACTCCCTTCAGCAGAATCCGAGTGTCGGCGAGCAGAAATTCCGATTCGGGAGAAAAGCCGCTGGTGACTTTTTGTTTGAAATAAATGTGAAGAAACCTCAAAAGGAAGGCATCCGGAGAGAGCTCAATTTCCTTGGCCTTCCAATGTCTAGCAGTTTGGAGCTTCTTGTTCGTTGGGATTGACCATAGTCAGCGGTTTGCTGATCAATCTCCGCCCGAAGACGGCAACCTTCGAACCGGTCCACGTGGCCAATACACACCCAAAGACGCGAACTTGGAGGGTGACTCGTGTCGAACAAATCCCAGACGCGACTAGCTTGGGACTGCCAAACTATGCCTTATTGGATTCGACATGGAGTGACTACTGGGAGGTCGACATGAATGATGGTCAATGACTATATCCAAACATATGTATATATATACCCTAATCTTCAAATGCCTAGTTTAACTTCGTATCCGTTCAGTGCTAAGTTTAACTTCGTATTTCCGTTAAATGCTAAGTTTTACTTAGGTGCTTGACTGAGGTGGCTCAAACATTGGACAACTGAGGGCAATTCGGACAATCATTGGATTATTGACATGATTTCAGGAACTTTGAGGGAAAATCACCGACCTTCTGGGGCGCATTTAAAATGTAGTACATTTTAGCTGGCCTTACGTGACGATGGCTGGACGATGGATACATGAAGGCAGCGCTTCGGAAAAGCCGGGCTCCAAGTTACAATTATTATATCTATGTTCGATTGGGAATTAAAGTACACCTCCCCTCCTGTTCATCCCAGGGAAGCGGGAACTACAAGTCGGCGACGGTACCACCGCCCCGTTCAGTTGCAAACGACTATTGAGTGTGCACGTTTGCAGTTTTTTTTGTATGTGTGATATTTGCTATTTCCCAGCTCAGACTTGATGCAAAACCGAAAGTCAACAACCTCATGACCACAGCATAGGAAAAGC